TAAATACGGCTGAATCAATAGGGAAATATAAAAGCTTTTTTAGAGTTTCTATTCTTTCTATAGTTTATTTATTTACTTCAATTTCTTTGCATTTTTCTGGGAAAATATAGTTACTTCTCAAAAGTTTCTTTAAATAAAACAAAAAATGCCAATGTATATAAACGTATAATATTCCCCATATTCGCATTTTTTATACATCCCGAGGGTATGCAACGATAATTTATAAAATGTTTATTTTGGTATGCAAATGAATGTGAACCTAAAACTAAATAACATATATAATTTAATGGAGACAATGTGGTAATCAAGATCATGTATTAACGAACTTAAACTTTTCTGGAAAAGTTGTGATTATTTTCCCCACAGGCCGCCGCCAAAACTACCACCTCCATAGCTTCCACCGCTGCTGTAGTGGCTTTCGTGGTGATATTCCTCGTGATGCTGATAGCCGCTGCTGTGACCACCGCCATAACCGCCACCAAAGCCACCACCGAAGCCTACTCCACCACTAATGCCTCCGCCGATTCCGCCACCGAATCCTCCGCCATGACCCGCCAGTGCATGCTTAAGACCCAATAGCTTTGGTGTCCGAACTTTCAGTCCAACGAAACCGGCATGTGGACCCTTAAATGCGAACAGTTTCACTTTTCCGGCTGTTGCCGCTTGGACCAACAAAACGGAGCAGATGCCGAGCAGGAGGAGTAGCTGGTGCTAAAAGATTTTCAAAGTAATAATATTGTCGTTGAGGTTTTTTTTTTTTTTTTTTTTTTTTTTAGAATGTATTGTCTAAATTTATATTTATATAATATTTCTAAAATTGGTGTATTTTTTTTTTTTTTTTTTTTTTTCATAAATAAACTTTACAAATGTAGTTTTATCTCTATTTAATGAATTATTTATGTATATTTTTTAATTTTATACACATAATTTAAATAATTTTAAAAATTCCTTCCACAAGTAAAAGTTGTACATTTTATGCCCATGTTATATTTTTATGCGGCATATAAATTTTGTTTCACACTGTGATTGTTTATAAAACTTTGTTTCTTTTTGGTTTATGCTATTGAAATTTTATAGTTTTACACCGTTTTTGTACTCACAATGATTTGCATTTTACACTAAGTTATACACAATTTTTAATTGATTCAATTTGTTTGCTAGGCTTCAAGATTTGGTTTTATGGCCTCGTTAATATTCACTTATTGTCTTCTAAGCCTTCAAGTTCGAATTTCGCTTCGTTGATTGATGTTAGCTGCATGGACCACGATATGTGTGCAATTGAAGCTGCTGCGTGGTGAGCGAAGAGTTTTTATGCCACTGACGCGTTTTCGAGGCGTTTATTGTCGCCCTTATGCAATCGCCGCTCGATGAGATCTCGTTTGTGTTCATTGTTGCTGTTGTTGTTGTTGTTATTGCTGTGAACTTCAGCTTTTATTTAATTTGTTGGCATCTTTGCTGTATTCACAAAATTGACCCTGAAAATTTCTGGTTTTCAAAGTAAATAAGAGCAAAAATACAACAAATAAAATATATAAATGGAACACACAGTTTACATATAAAATATTTATGTATGTATATACGTGTATGAAGAGTGTAAAAAAAAAGCTGCGGAAAACAAGCCAATATGTAGGCAAGTGTTAATACCGGTTGAAAAATTTTGAATGACAACAGCATATAGGCTCTCTGAGGGTAATTCCAGCTGAAAGAGGCGTTCTTGGTCTTAATTTATATACCCTCTCAACCGGCTACTGTGCGGCTACTATAATTAATAAATGAACAGCCAATGGAACGCGCTTAGAATAATTATCAAGGCTCACAGCTTTCCACTATATCAGCTAACATAGATATGAAACTCTATTGGACTAATCAAGTGAATCATCAAATGGTCGTACATATTTGGGTATTTTCGTTTTATTGACCTTCAAAATGCAAGCTCCAACAAAGAGAAATCAAATAAAATGAAAACGGAAATTTCCAGCAGTTAAAAACTTTTAAACAATTCGTATGCATAACTATCTGATTTATTTGCCAAAGCCATATGGATAGCCAAATCTATTTCCATAAGCATAGTTGTTGTAGCCATTGTATTGATACTGATTGAACTGCTGCCGATAGCCTCCGTTGTAATTGCCATAGCCGTAGCCATAGCCGTTGCCTGGCCATCCGTAGCCAAGTCCTCCATAGCCCTGGAAACTGCTGCTGGATGCGGCACTGGCACTTGATGAGGCATAGTTTCCATATCCTGCAAAAGGTGCAAAGCCATAGCCAGTGGATCCAAGGCCCGACCACTGTGGTGCGCTCCAAGCGCAGCCACCCAGGCACCACAAGACACACACATATAAAGCGATCTGAAAAATGTTCAGTTCAACTAACTAACTTAAAAGAATTTGCTTCACCCACCTTCATTGTTGACGTTTGATAGAAGACTTGTTAGCAAATGCCATTAGCATTTTCCTTTTATTATGTCAAACTAAAACGGAAGTCAGCTACCACTAATTATCTATGAATGGAAAATATACTAGGCATATAATTAAACAAACTAAAATAATAATGAGTTCAAATAAAGGTTAAGGTGATTAAAAAAGATGTACATATATTGTACAATTGAAAAATACAAATATACTCAAATTATCAACAGTTCTTAAGCTAAGCAAATTTATTTACATTTTTGCATTATTATATTTCATAAATGATATATA